AACTGAAACCCTCTGACCCTTGAAGTGGAAGGGTGTTTTTTTGTTTTGTTTTGTTTTGGAAACTCAGTTGTGCTATGTGAATATAGATAGATAGATAGATAGATAGATAGATAGATAGATAGATAGATAGATAGATTTTTTTTCTTGTACCCAAGTGTAGGATTTGGGAATGTTTTTTCCTTGTGGAAAGCAACCCTCATGAGAGGGCGTGTGATGTTGATTAGTTGAAACTTACCTTGTGGGAAGAGCCTGTTTTTTTGTGAGCTCCAAAATATCCTCATGTGGACTTTGAGACGCATGTCTCAGAGAGTGAGACATGCCTTCTATATCTCTACACTTTTGCATTGCTACAGTTCACATCCTTCACTCATTTAGGTAGAGTAATGATTCATAGAACTGTTCATGCTGTTTTGATTGTGTTTTACTGCGTCAGTGGCCTCCTGTGATTTGGGGAATGTCTAAATACTTCTACTGAATTCTTCTGCTTTTGGTGGTTCATGTTGCTGCTGCTGGTTTGCTACATTGCTGGTATCCTGACAATTGAGTCTGGTAATTCCCAGAGAACCCATTGACCCTTCCCAGCAGGAAGTAAGTAAAAGCCCCTATCTCTAAGAAGCTCCTACCTAAGGTCTTGGGGGTTGGAAGTTAGGTAAAGACATTTAAGAACCTTAAATAAAGTAGGTGTTTGAAAAATCTAAGCCTACAGGTCCTGGGCATTTTTTGGATGGGAAACTTTTAATGACTGCTTTTATTTCCTTTGTGGGTATAGGACTATTTAACTTGTTTATCAGGGTGTTGATTTAACTTTGCAGCACTGTGGATTGGTTTTCCTGCAGACACTGTAGTGTTCTCCTGGTACCCAGACTCTGCTGTGTGCTGCCATCTTGCTTAGGGAACCCAGTATGTTCCTATTGTCCTGCGGGTTCCTGCAGGGAGACCAGTACAACCATGGATGGAGGCTGGTATCTGGGAGGTGTCCTTGGGGAGTTGGGAGGAGTCTTGTCTCCAGATGCTGGAGTTGTGCAATTGGGAGTCCTGTTTGAGTAGGAGGAAAGCACTGGGTGCTGTAAGCCAAGGACTGTGTGTGACTCTTGCACATAGGATGCCTGCAACTGTGCACCCCTTGCTTGTGGGACGCCTCCTTTCATCTGGGAAACACGAATGTTGGTGTTTGGAGTCAGCAGCCAGGTCACTTAGTGGGTTGGCAGTCTCTGATATCCTGTTCCTCAAACACAGTAAGTGCTAGGCTCGATCATCTTAGAAAAACAAATAAACTATTTTTTGAGTCTTGTTAATGCTTTTCCACCATCCCAGAGGAAATATTACAGTTGTGAGAAGATTGTTATACAGCAGAAGCCTGTCCTCTTTGGACAATAATTTTATATTATGTTATAATTATTCTTTTAACCATTAAATATCTTTTGTGCAAATTGACAAATTTGAAAATATTTAAACAATAAGTTCATTTCTTGTCTGGAAACGTTTGTTCTATAAAATTTTGTCTTGATTTAGTATAAAGGAACTCTGAGTACGAGATCGTCTAGGTTAAGAAAACGTTAGTGCAATGTTAGAGAACAATAAATTTTATTCTCATAATACATAACATCATATGAAGATGGAAGTCAATGTGTTTCTTCCATATAATCTCGTGTTGCATGGAATACTTCACAGCTGGGGTTATATGTTATAATTTTTAAAAAAGCAACATAGATGCGTATAGTTGTATAAGTTTTATTTTTTATATTTTTATTATTACATTTTATTAACTCTGTATCTCACCTGTATCCTGTTCCCTCATTCCCTCCCAGTCCACCCTCCCTCTCCCATCTCCTCCCTGACCCTTTCCAAGTCCACTGATTGGGGAGGACCTCCTCCCCTTTCATCTGATCCTGTTTTATTAGGTATCTTCAGGACTGGCTGCAAAATCCTCTTCTGTGGCCTAGCAGGACTGCTTCTCCCTTGGGGAGTGGGGAGGTCAAAGAGCCCAAAATTGAGTTCCTGTCAGATTTAGTCCCTGTTCCTCTTACTATGGGAAACCAATTGGTTACTGAGATACCAAGGGCTACATCTGAGCAGAGGTTCTAGGTTATGTCCACACATGGTCCTTGGTGGAGTATAAGTCTCAAAAAAGACCCCTGTGCCCAGATATATTTGATCCTTGTGGAGCTCCTATTTTCTCCATGTCATACTAACTCCCCCTTCTTTCATATGATTCCCTGCACTCTGCCGAAGGTTTGGTTATGAGTCTTAGTATCTGCTTTGATACACTGCTAGGCAGAGTCTTCAGAGGCCCTCTGCAGTAGGCTTCTGTCCTGTTACTTGTTTTCTCCTATGTTCAATGCACATCCCATTTGTCTTTCTAAGTGAGGATTGATCATCTTACCCCCAGTCTTTTTTCTTGATTATCTTTTTTAGGTGTATAGATTTCATTATGTTTATCATATCTTATAGGTCTATATGAGTGAGTATATACCATGTGTGTCTTTCTCCTTCTGGGATACCTCACTCAGAATGATCATTTCTAGATCCCAACATTTGCCTGCAAATTTCCTCATTTTTGATTGCTGAGTAGTATTCCATTGTGTAAAAATACCACAATTTCTCTATCCATTCCTCCGTTGATGGACATTTGTGTTGTTTCCAGGTTCTGGCTATTACAAATAAAGCTGCCAAAAACATGGTTGAGCAAATGTCCTTGTTGTGTACTTGAGAAAATTTTGGATATATGCCTAGGAGTGGTATAGCTGGGTCTTGAGGAAGTACTATTCCTAATTGTCTGAGAAAGCACCAGATTGACTTCCAAAGTGGTTGTACCAGTTTACATTCCCACCAGCAATGGAGGAGGGTTCCCCTTTCTCCACAACCTCTCCAGCATATGTTGTCACTTGAGTTTTTTATTTTATCCATTTTGATGGCTGTAAGGTGAAATCTCAATGTCGTTTTGATTTACATCTCCCTGATGGCTAAGGATGTTGAGCATCTCTTTAAGTGTTTCTCTGCCATTCAATATTCCTCTACAGAGAATTCTCTGTTTAGCTCCATACCCCATTTTTAATTGGATTACTTGATTTATTGCTTTTAAACTTCTTTAGTTTTTATATATTCTGGATATCAGCCCTTTGTCAGATATAGGGTTGGTGAAGATCCTTTCCCAGTCTGTAGGCTGTCATTTTGCTCTGATGACAGTGTCTTTTGCTTTACAGAAGTTTTTCAGTTTCATGGGGTCCCATTTATTGATTGTTGCTCTTAGAGCCTGTGCTGTTGGTGTTCTGTTCAGGAAATTGTCTCCTGTGCCAATGAGTTCTAGGTACTTCCCCACTTTTTTTTTTCTAACAGATTTAATGTGTCTGGTTTTATGTTGAGGTCTTTGATCCACTTGGACTTTAGTTTTGTGCAGGGTGACAAATATGGATCAAATTGCTTTTTTCTACATGTACACATCCAGTTGGACCAGCACCATTTGTTGAAGATGCTGTCATTTTACACTTCCAAACCCTCAGTGTATAAGTTTTATAATTCAGAGTTTAGGAAGCAAAGGCAAGATTTATCCCATGTAACTTCATCTGCACAATGAGTTTCTGGTCCATGATAGCCAACAAAACCTTCTCTCAAGCAAACAGGAAAAATGTCTGCACTAACTCCTCTGTGTATATGTTATGTTTGCTAGCTTGATGTTTTGTGGGACTCCTAAGAGATTGGAGAGTTTCTGACTCCTCAGTCTGTTCTTGAGACCCTTTCCCTCATACTGGGTGGCCTTGGTCAGCTCTGATATGAAGGTTTGTGCCTATTTTGTGCCTGTTTTTGTTGTATCTTGTTATATCACGTTTGGTGTCTATGCCTGGGAGGCCTGTTTTTTTTTTTTTTTTTTTTTCTGAAGAGAAATGGAAGAGGAGTGGATCTGAGAGTGAGAAGGTGTGTGTTGGGGGAGCTGGGAGGAGTGGAAACTGAAGTTGGGATGTATTTCATGAGGAAAGAATAAATTTAAGAATGGAAGGAAGGAAAGAAAGGAGAAAAGAAAGAAGAAAGAAAGAAAGAAAGAAAGAAAGAAAGAAAGAAAGAAAGAAAGAAAGAAAGAAAGTATGTTAAAAGACTATAAGACTATGCTATTTGGTTTCCTGGTCCAACTTTTTCTGTTGTATGGATCTAGACATCCATCCATTACATCATGAAATAGAAGATATGAATAATAGCCACCCCAGGCTATTAGCTAAGAGAAAAACCCACAAAATATTGGAGGTTCAGTTTCTTTCAGAACTGTTACTGCCACTGGGAATCAAGAATTCAGTTTCTGTATATATGTACACATGTAGAAACTTTATGATAAAAGGAGAGTTATCTTTAAAACCTATGTACCTAATTGACTTAGAACTTGTTTCTAAAATTCCTTCTTAGGGTGATGTGTAAGCATTGTCTAATCTTTTTCTCGATTGAGTTGAGAAAAGTTGAGGCACTATTGTTCATTCTGTTTTGGTGAACTGATGAGTTTATTGGACTCCCCTACAGAGCATACATGAGGAGTTATTTATAAGAGAGTGGGAAATGTACCCCCAACCTTCTGTGCCTGGCCGATTTACCCATCAGGAAGGAGGATTTCTCTGTGCCAGGTAGACACATAGGCAGAACCTTTGCTTTTGTCTACACACACACACACATACACACAACCTCCCCTAGTCCACATTCAAATGGGATGTTCTTTTGTAGGTGGCCTCAGTTAACTGCACCTAGATGGAAGTTGTTTGTTTCATAGCCAGTCTTTCATGACAGAATCACTGCTTTTTGGTAAATAGATTTAATTTTATGCTACTTGGATAAAGGTCACATAAATAATGTTACAGAGAAGAAGAAAGCTATACAAGCAAATTTCTGGAAGTCAATTTTGACTTTCTCTTTTATAAAGTAGATTAGAACATAAAAACTTTAAAACAGACTTTCAGTTAAATCAATGTCCTCAAGGTACAAACCAAATGTTTTAACTAATTCATCATTGTTGTTATTTGTAGATGGGGCAAACTGAGAGGAGCACAAGGGAAGAAAGAAAAATTTTGGGTATGTAAGGCTTCCCAATTGAATTCATACTGTAAAATGAAAATCAGCTCCTCTTTTGCTGGCTTCACATTATGTAATCACACTCTGTAATGTTTTCCACACGTTGGTGTTTTCTTCAGCACAAAGCTAATTATAACAGTTTGTATTGTAATAATAGCTTTCTTCAAGTCCTGTGTTTTCAAGTTGTAAAAGAAGAATTTGTTTTGTTTCTTTCAAATTGAGACTCACTAGGACAGCTACTTATTCCATTACCATCTAGATTAAAAGAATAGATGTATGTTACTCATGTCTGTATTCATACCAAACAAATTGAGGACTTTGATATATTTATATCATGTACATATACTATGTAATATATATCAGAGAAGTTAAGAGTGATGGTTTTTGTTTGTTTGTTTTGCTTGCCAATTATAACTTATATGTGTGTCTTTCTGGGAGAGAGTTAGTATCATTGTGTACACAGGATAGCTTGAACTCCTGATCATCCTATCATGGCTTTCTAAGTGTTAAAGTAATAGGCATGCTCCAACATAACTGACTACATTCCACGTTACCTTTGAGACTAGATGCTCTTTCCCAGCAAAGACTACTATCACAGTGCGAAGTATAGTAGCAGGTTTGGAGCTGGAATAGTAGCTGGGATAGTAGCTGGGAGATCACATCTTGAGACACACCTACAAGGCAGAGAATGCTGGAATAGCTTGAGTCTTTTGAAACTTCATAGTCCATTCCCACGGGCACACCTCATTAAATAAGGCCATGTTTCCTAATCTTTTCCAAGCAGTTCCACCAATCCTATGGGGAGGATTCCAAGCAGTTCCCCAAATCCTATGGGGAGGATTTTCAGATTTCACTCAAACCACCAAAATGCACTGCCTGCCCCCCATAGCATGTGACCTCATCACAATGCAAAATGCAGTTGTTCTATCACCCAGAGTCTCAACACAGTTTAAAAGTCCAAATTCTCTTCTGAGATTCAAAGCTCTCAATTAAAGGTAACGCTCTGTAAAATCAAAAAAGCAGAGTACAGGCTTCCTTCCTGTACAATGGCAGAGAATATATCATTCTAAAAAGGATGAACAAAGACATAGTGAGAAAGTACTGGACCAAAGCAAGGCAAAATTCCAGCAAGGAAAACTCCAAATTCTATGGCTCCATATCTGATATCAAAAGGTTTAGATAGCTCCCTCCTTCCAGTTTTACAATACACTTCTCTTTCTTGGGATGGTGCCTTCAATACAGCTATCTCTCTCTCTCTCTCTCTCTCTCTCTCTCTCTCTCTCATGGTGGTTCTACTTCCTGTCTGAAGGTCTCCTTGGCAAATGTCCTAAGGATCTGGCATTTACAATAAACATACTGAGCTTTCTAAGAAATCCAGTTTATACTTTTACAGCTTCACTCAATAGCTTTCAGGGCCTCCGTGAAGGACTCCCCTGCCACACACCTGACCTTGTAGTTTTCCTCAATGGCTAAAGAAGATTCCACAGCCTTTCTCCATTTACCTTTTATAATACTCTTGACAGAACCACATAGATAATATTGCCAAATTTGACTGCTTTCTTGGGATGGAGTTGGACTTCTTGAATCACATTTGAATATGCTTCCCTCTGTTATTGTTTTGTAGGTGCAGAAAAATCTTTAGTACCTTGCTTTTTCCATGTTGGAAACTTAGCTGGGTGGGGTCTTGCCCTGAGGACATCCCTCCTTTATTCCACTTTGGAACAGGCTTTTCTTTAATCTTCTTATCTCTTTCAGCCTGGCTCCAATATTAAATTTCTTGGTGCTTGTGTTTTTTTTTAACTGTAACCTGTATTCTCTCTCTGTATCTGTCTCCCTGTCTCTCTCTCTCTCTCTCTCTCTCTCTCTCTTTGTGCGTGTGCATGTGTGTGTGTGTGTGTGTGTGTGTGTGTGTGTGTATGTGTGTGTGTGTACTTTTGCATGCATGGGCATGAGTGTGTGTTTCTGTTTTCTCTTTTTTTCATTATAGACTTTTGTAAGAGTGATTACTAGTAGCCATGCGAGAGTTAGTATTAGGCTCTCTTAAAAATCTCCCCCACCACAGGAGCCTATCACAGAGGCCCTCTGAAAGACTCTACCCAGCAGGGTACCCAAGCAGATGCTGAGACTCATAGCCAAACTTTGGGCAGAGTGCAGGGAATCTTATAAAAGAAGGGAGAGATAGAAAAACCTGGAGGGGACAGGAGCGCCACAAGGAGACCAACAGAGCCAAAAAAAATCTGGTTCCAGGGGCCTTTTCTGAGACTGATATTCCAACCAAGAACCATGCATGGAGATAACCTAGAACCCCTGCACAGATGTAGACCATGAAAGCTCAGTGTCCAAGTGGGTCCCTAGTAATGGCCACAGAGGAAGACAATGCATCCAGTCTTGATGAAACCTGATAGGCTAGGGTCAGAGGGAAGGGAAGGAAGATCTCCCCTATCAGTGTACTTGGGGAGGGGCATGGGAGGAGAAGAGGTTGAAGGGTGGAATTGGGAGAGGATGAGGGAAAGTCTACAGCTGGACTACAAAGCAAATAAACTGTAATTTATAAAAAATTAATAAATTAATTTAAAATTCTACCTCACCAAGAAAATTATCCCAATATTTTAATTTAGCCTCAGGAAGATCATTGGACTCAGGACAGCTACATTCTTTGTCAAAATATCACAGACCTGATCTCTAGCCCAGTTGCTTCCTCTCCAAAGCCACTTGAACTGGGACTTCACAGTCTACATTGCTCTCTAAACTGCTGTCCAACAATTTTAGTGTCCTCCCATCATCTATTAAGATGCCCTGTTAAGCCCCATTTACAGTTCAGCTGCTTTTCTACCTAGTTCAAAATCCCAAAGTCTTCTACATCCCTCTGGAACCAGCACGGTCTTCCATAGTATGCACTCCCTGATACCAAACTTGTATCTTAGTTACTTTTCTATGGTTGGATAAAACGACATGGTCAAGGGCTACTTAGAAAAGAAAGAATTTAATTTTGGAGCTTGTGATTTCAGAGGACTGGAGTCCATGATGGAAGAACAAAGGTATGCAAGCAGAAACATTTAGGAACTTAGATTTTTTTTTTATCCACAATTTTTTATTTTCTGTATCTGTTGGATACAGACCAATGATTCGTCGCAATGAATATTTTCAAGTAAAGAAGTGTAGACAAATGGATATACTGTAGGATACACTGTGACACACTACAGGGAAGGGCGAGGTGAGTAGACTTGGGATGCATGATGTGTAATTCAGAAAGAACCAATAAAAAGTTAAAAAAATAACATTAATGTTTGATAGTTAAAAAGATTGTGAAGGAGGGTGTAGCTTCAGTATTTGCAATTTGCAATTAAGTTTCAATGTTGAGGTATTATTGAATAAATTTTAAATACATTCAATTTTAAAATAATATAACTCGGAGAGATGCTTTGACGTAGTTGATTCATAACAGTTATTAACACATAACACAGGATAGTTATGTTTTGAGTCAGTGTGCGGAAATATGAACTGTAAAATAATATAAAACTCTCTCATCTTCATTTTGATCTTTTCCAACTGAGATCACATAAGTCGTAAACTTCATGGATCCACACACAGACACACATGCCAGCATGCGCATACACACTCACACATATACAGTCTCGGATTTTTAATACATACCTGCATACACTATTTTTCTGTCTGTCTGTATGTGTGTGTGTTCATGTGTATGTGTGTGCTCATGTCTGTGAAGGTGTGTGGAGGCCTAAAGACAACCTCAGGTATTGTTTCTTTGGTGCTGTGTTTAGGAGGTGTGAGTCTCACTCACTGGCCTGGAACTTGCCAATATGTAGGAATGGCTGCACAGTGAGTCCCAGAGTTATTCTTCTCTTTTCCTTGCTACCACTGGAATGATAATCATACACTACCACACTTGGTTCTTATAATATGGGTTCTGAGGTTTGGACTCCTTCCCTTGGGCTTATTATTCATCTTCCATTTTGAAAATATTTGATTTATTTAAGGAATCTAAAGGCTTAATATATACTATTATACATGAGAATATGAATGATATTCATTGAACAGTGAATAAGTATGCATTTAGGAAAGGTAGACAAGGCACTAAAAGTTTCACTTCATGTAAAATCAATTGTGAATTTAATTGAAATATAACCTTTAAGTGCTATTGGTGGTTTTGAATGAATTATGAAGCATCCAACGTTATCAACATGTACACGCAGATATATCACGCACAGGATGGAGCGTCTGGATCATAAACAGAGCCTGCTGAGAAAAAGGAGTCTCTGTTTTTCCTGAAGAATAAGGGAAAATAAAATGACATTTATTACACTGTCCTGGCCTTTGACAATATAAATATGTCTTCCCAAGGCCTGGATAAACTTCAGATAATGTCTTCTAATACTGGGCTTTGTCTCTTCTGACATGTAAATACTTAGGGAGATAATGTTATGTCCTGGGGACTAATTCAGGACCTTGTCTGAGCAATCATTCTTTGGCTCAGAGGTAGCTCAGAGAAGCTGTATTGCCCATGTACATTAAATCAGTGAACTAGACAGATGGCTACAGATCTGATCCCCACGGTATGTGAAGAGTTTCTAGAAGTAGAGGCAAGAATTCCTTATCATTGTATTATTCACATTTTTGGTTCAGCAAGATTCTTCAATTTGTTTTTAAAAATGAATCCTTGAATAGAAAGGCAGCTAGCTATTGATTTCCCAAAGTTATGTAATGGAATTTTAAAAATGTTTACAACGTATACTTTTTTTTTTCCTAATAGACATTGTTGGGTGTTTTTCATTGTTGGGAAAACAATGGATAGCAGCAGACAGAAACAAAAATAAATAAAAGTAACTATAAAGTTCTCTCTCTTTTTTAATTGAAGATCGATTCTTCTCTCATAAAATACATCTCAGCCACAGTTTCACCTTCCTCCACTCCTCCTAGTCCCACTCCAATTCCTCTCCCTCAGATCCAATCCTCCTCAGTTTCCTCTTTAGAAAAAAAAG